GCTAAATCAGTTCTTGAATAAAAGGGGGCATGAAAGAAAACCTCAAATGATTACATGAAGGTACAAGAGACTTGCGTAGAAGGAGCAGCTCTCTGAGAGACACTGGAATCAGACTTTTGTAGGGCTTTGTAGGTAAAAATAGGCAGCACTGAATTTGGATCAGAAGCTGACTGAGAGACCATGCAGCTACTCCACAATGAGAGTGGAATGTTCTCAACCAGAGGTCATTTCGGGGGGGAACGCGGGGGATCGCAGTTCCCCCAGGTGAGGTACGGGGGGCGGGGCACATGACGAAGCCCCGCCCCCTGTTTCCGGCTGCCCCGCTTCCGGCCCTCATTCAGCCAGGAGGAGGCAGGAGAAGAGGGAGGGTAAGTTGCTGCCTGCCTGCCTGGGGCCAGGGAGGGCCTTTGCGGGGCTTCCTTGCACTCCCGCCGGCCTTGCAGGTCCATCGCCGGACCCCTCATGGGGCTCGGCAGGCTCGGCGGCAGTGGAGCTGCAAGGCCGGCGGCGGCTGGGACCGTTGGGGGCGGGGTGTGTGGCCTTATGACACACTTCCGGTGATGTCAGGGGGTGTGGCATATGCTAATGAGTTATGCTAATGAGTTCCCCTAGCTCTTTTTCTATGAAACGACCCCTGTTCTCAACACCCAGCACTTGAGTGCCACCAACCAGTAGAATTCTGTACCAGCTGAAGCATCTTCAAAAGCCAGTCCCCCATACAGAGTTCATTAGCAGGTGTGGATGACCAAAACTAGATCCCGCTTTTGAAAGGAGAGGTTCTGCCAGCATTCCAGCCAGAGGTGATGACAGAAACTCATGACTACAGCTACCATTAGTTACTCTAAAGTCAAAGAGAGTTCACAAGTATTGGTTGATCAATCTGTCTGAGTACAGCTTTCTGAAGTTCTTCAATTCAACTCTTACCTTCTCAGAGTGGACTTGTCACAAATCCAGTTACCGAACCAGTTTCCCCCCTCTTCACTGGATAGTGAAGCCCCCTCTTCACTGAGCCTGCTACAGGCGGGGAGGTGTGGGATATAACTATAAATAAGTAATGGTTTTATAAGTTTGAATTCTTTTTTTATCGGTCTTATTGTTTGTGGTTTGTTAATCCGCTGTGTTTTGCCCTGACCTGGATAGCCCAGGTTGGCCTGATTTTGTCAGAGCTTGAAAGCTAAGCACGGTTGGCCTTGGGTAGTATTTGGATGGGGGGGCCTCCAAGGAAATCCAGGGTCGCTGTGCAGAGGCAGGCAATGGCAAACCACCTTTGGACGTCTCTTGCCTTGAATTGACAGCAAGCGGGAATTGACAGCAAAAAAAATAAGTTTTGAAACTGATGGTCTGTTATGGTTGGATTTTAATTTGTTGCTCTCTATCCTGGGAAGCTGATGACTAAGGAGTGGCAAGTTATCTACAATAAGTAAATAAATCTCTCCCGGAACTTTTAATGACAGTTGGTGTTAGAGTGGATTGTGTCATCACAGCCATCGGGAACTATTGTTATTAGCACTTTATTGAGTTGTATAGTTTAAATGATTTTAGAATTGTTTTAATTCAAATTCGTTACGTTTTATTGTAAATTATGTATTGATTTTATGTAAGCCGCCCTGAGCCGGCTTTGGCTGGGAGGGCGGGGTAAAAAATCCAATAAATAAATAAATAAATATTTAACTAGATTGGCATGAACAAGGGCAAGAGGGAAGACTCCTCAGGGTTGTTCTCATCATGGTCAAACCATGGTGTAGCTTAGCATTACATCTGAAACCTGAGACTGACTTGACATTACTGGAATACCACAAAGACCAGACTTAATTTTCTCCTATGCTGCTCCAAAGACCTCTCGGAGGGACGGTTCCCGAGGGCACTCAAGGAAGCGATGGTCCGCCCTCTCTTGAAAAAACCATTGTTGCACCCAGCCGAATTGGCCAACTACCAGCCAGTCTCCAATTTGCCCTATTTGGGCAAATTAACCGAGAGGGCAGTGGCAGTACAGCTGCAGGGCTTTCTGGATGACTCTTCTGTATTAGATCCCTTCCAGTCTGGCTTCTGCCCAGGACATGGGACGGAGACGGCGCTGGTCACTTTTACTGACGACCTCCAAAGGCACCTGGATCAGGGTGCTGTTGTTGTTGGACCTGTCAGCTGCGTTCGACATGGTCAACCACCAGTTGCTGACCCACCGCCTCACCGACACGGGGATACGGGGTTCGCCCTACAATGGCTTGTCTCCTTCCTCCAGGGTCGGGGACAAAGGGTGGTGCTAGGGGAACAGCAGTCCATGAGACACCCGTTTGAATGTGGGGTGCCTCAGGGGGCGGTGCTTTCCCCGATGTTGTTTAACATCTATATACGCCCCCTTTCCCAGGTTGCTCGGGGATATGGGTTGGGTTGTCATCAGTATGCTAATGACCAGATAGGTTAGCAAAGCAAAGCAGTAATTATTCAGATAAATGTTGGAAGTGCAAAAATAAGGTAGGCACATTTTACCATATGTGGTGGTCATGTGATGTTTTAAAAAATGGATACCATGTATGATGGAAAAATAGTAAGATGTAATATCCCCTTTACTCCAGAATTGCTTTTGTTAAATATCTTCCCGAAAGAATTTGAGGAAACGGATAGGTACCTGATTGTATACATGTCAACGGTGGCAAGGATATTATATGCCAAATATATGGCAAAAATAATATTGGAGTATGTAGCAATATATAATAATGGAACTAGAGAATATTAACAAATGCAACAATGAAGCGATGGTGTAGATGTAGTAACAAACTGTAATAAGTCTCTTGGCCTATATGTTGTTCATTGTAGTTGTTTATGTTTGTGTTTAGGAATATAAGAAAATAATAAATGTGTACCTTCGGGTACTTTAAAAAAAAAGTATGCTAATGACACTCAGCTCTCTCTGATGTTGGGCGGCCGGTCAGACTCCAGACCGGAAGATCTGGACCAGGCACTGCAGGCCGTGGCTGGTTGGCTCACGTTGAGTTGGCTGAAGCTAAATCCGGCAAAGACAGAGGTCCTGTGCTTGAGTCATGGTGGCACAGGGTTGGGGATCTCACTCCCGGCCTTCGATGGGGTACCAATGGTGCCAGCGTCGGAGGTTAGGAGTTTGGGAGTGCTCCTGGACCCCTCCTTGACAATGGAGGCCCAGGTAGCAGCCACTGCAAAGTCAGCCTTTTATCATCTTTGGCTGATTTGGCAGTTGGTTCCCTTCCTCGACCATGGCAACCTGGCTACACTGATCCATGCGATGGTCACCTCAAGATTAGACTACTGTAACGCTCTCTACATGGGGCTGCCCTTGTCGCAAATCCAGAAGCTGCAGCTAGTGCAGAATGTCGCAGCCAGGCTGTTGATGGGCCTCCCACATTGGGAGCACATCCAGCCTGTGCTTAGGTCACTGCACTGGCTGCCGATAGCATACCGAATCCGCTTCAAGGTGCTTGTACTTACCCTTAAAGCCCTATATGGCCAGGGTCCGGCATACCTGAGGGACCGCCCTTCCCCATATATACCCCAGAGAGCACTACAGTTGGGGTTGCAACATCGATTAATCATTCCGGGCCCCAAAGATGCCAGGCTCAACGCCACCAGGGCCAAGGCCTTTTCCGTGGCGGCTCCTTACTGGTGGAATGAGCTCCTGGAAGAGATCAGGGCCCTGCGGGACCTTTTGCAGTTCCGCAGGGCCTGTAAGACGGAGCTCTTCCACCAGGCTTTCAATTGGGAGCCGCCACCATGACCACCAACTATGCTACATCAACATCTGTAGCACTGAGCTGGCCCTAACAGACCGGAAGACTGCTGAATTGAGAACTCGGATGGTATATCTTAGAGCACGCCATCTAATTTTAAGGAATTGTTAACACTGCGAGCACTTTAAATGTAAGAATGTTTTAAGCTGTTTTAAAATGTTTTAAAGTTTTATGTTGTCTAGGTACGTTGTACTGACCTCTGTAAGCCGCCCTGAGCCTGCTCGCTGGGAGGGCGGGGTATAAATAATAAATAAATAAATAAAAATAATTTGCGCCTAATACTAAATGTTTACATAAAAGCTATATTTACGACAGCACTTTTAGGTTCAGTTTCTAGAATCTTAAACACGTTTTCTCATACTGATATACCGTAACTTCTAGAGATGGCAAGGACTCTTTGAATCTGATTTCTAAAATTTGGAGTCTGTACCACATTGGCTTGTCTACTATGGCAAATTAACCAACTGTAAAACAGCCTCTAGAGACACTTGTAAAACTATGAGCCAACAAGGCCAATTCTCTGCTCTTAGTTTTAAAATAGATCTTCGGTGTAACCCGTATCAAGTCACTACATGTTACAAACAGCCTGCATAATTACAGGTCATCAAGAATAGGCAGAATGCACTAAGATTCAAAGTGCTCTAGAAATACAAAACACAATGTCGCTTGGTGTCTAGTACAGTTCCACATGGATGCAGGGATGCAATTATGACTTGTGCTTCCTTGTGCAACAGGGAACGTTTAAAGAATTAGCCTCATCTGAATACAGCCAAACGATATTGTTCAAATATAACACTGGATCAACAAATGATATCTACATTTTCTGTAGGACAAAAAAAGTGCAAGCGTTTCAATAACCCAGACCACACTGACGGTTCTAGCACTTTATAACAGAAGGCCGCCACGTCTTAATCTTAATTTTAATACGTGTATTTGGATAGTTTATTGACTGTATTGTTTTAGACTTATATTGTATAAATTGTTATGTTAGTTTTAAACTATTGAAATTGTTTCTGAGCCGCCTTGGCGGGAGGGCGGGGTAAAAGTCGAATAAATAAATAAATAAATAAATAAATAACCTAACAGAATTTACAGATCAATAGGATGCTACAGTTCTTTACTTTCTCATCTAAAACTCAGTGCATGGCTTATAGACTGTATCCGTACCAAATACCAATCAATGCTTTCTCAAAATTATTCTTCAATCAGAATTATGGCACGAGCTGTAAAGGTCCAACTCACTGAAAGGCATTGCATCAGTAGGATCCGGTGGAAAGTTCTCCGTGAAGTTGACATTGCACAAGTCGGTGCTGCAGCAGCAAAATCGATATGTCCCATTCTGAACTAAAGACGGGGTGGTGGTTACTATGCACTCTTCAGAGTGACAGTCGTGGGGATCTCCTATGTGAGACCAGCATCCTGGGGAGGGAAAGCGCATGGAACAGATTAACATGAGTTTCAGACACAGCTATTATATACAACTCCTCAGCCTTTCTCTTAGTTTTCTCCTCAAATGTGTACCTCTCATCAGGTTCTTTACTGCACCTCCTGCAAAACACTGAAAGACACATGAACTCATCGGTCAAGATTACTGAGAAAGCCAGATATTCACCGGAAGATACAATCAAAGGTAATACACTAACCTGAAAACCCTTTTTTGTGCATGGGGCTTCTCATTCTGCTATTTCTCTACAGACCGAACTACAAGCACTGCTCTATATCATTCCAGTAAGCAATTAAAACAGGCACAGATGAAGGCACGGGGAGTGCTAATGCGACCACACTGAAGACACTCTCTGTAGCAAGGGTTCTAAGACTGCCATCATGGCAGTGGCACAATGAAAGCTCTGTCTTCCACACCAACCCAGCTAGTCCATGTGAATGAATCAGAGGGCTGATGATCACCCGCAAATCCATTCACATAGCAGTGCCTTCAACTGACCAAAATGCTCAGCAAGAAAGGTGTTTAATTTTGAGACCCAGTGTCGTGTAGTGGTTAAGAGCGGCAGACTCTAATTCGGAGAACCAGGGTTGGTTCCCCACTCCTCCGCATGAAGCACGCTGGGCGACCTTGGGCCATTCACTTTTCTCTCAGAACTGTCTCAGCCCCACCTACTTCACAAAGTGTCTGTTATGGGGAGAGGAAGGGAAGGCGATTGTAAACTGCTCTGAGATTCCTTATGGCAGAGAAAAGTAGGGTATAAAGACCTACTCTTCTTAATTTTAAACAGACACTGATATTGCTAGGAATTAAAGAAAGTATATAAAGGTAGTTATGAAGGAAAATATGTAAGACTGAATAAAGCTGAGTAAGAAAAAATTAGAGTTTTAAGAGTTAGATGAAGGCAAGGCCTGATCTAAGCTGCTCTCCCTGAATAGGCAGGAAAAGAACTGAAGGGGGGGGGGCTCCCACAGGCAAGGGACAGGAAGTTGGGGGGGAAATTGTTCCTGCGTCCCTGATTGGACAGTGGGAAACACCCATCAAGATGTCCTCCGCCGTAAAGGACGAACCTACTCTTCTTGATTTTAAACAG